AGATGTGATGATGTTCACTGGATTCAAGGAATGACCTTCCACCTTTTGCTAAGATGCAATCACATCTTTTAAAAGGAAAGAGAGTGAGGAAGAAATACATCGAGACTCCATCTTGCTCCTCGTAGATGGTGTCTATCTGTGGCTAAATTCACATGCACTTTTGGAAACCAGATGGATTCACCAGCAGATGACATCAGGCATATCAGTGTAACTGCATGTGCAGGTCAGTCCGCTTGGACAGTTTTACCTGGTTTCCCCCTTGGTAATGATGAGGTCCAGCAAAACAGACGTTACAAGGTTCTACAGCTGGACTAACCACTGAAGACTAAATTTAGACTACTGTGCAGGAACTTCAAACTTCACCCAGGACCTCCTATATATGTCCTGGCTTTCACATGTCATACAAGGTTACAGCCTTTAAATACCTTCTTGGAGCAGGGCCCTGTGTTAAAGCAGACAGTGTGCCAGGGTAACCTGCCACACTGTAGATACATCCATCCATCCAGCACTGTTTGAAGTTGCAATGGCTGGAAGCAAACAGCCCCTGGAAGTGGCCCGTGACAAGAACACAGTTCTGTACATCAGGCTGTAGAAAAAAGGCCAGCATTAAAGAGACAGAAAGATTTTAGTTTTGGAGACTACATGAAAGCTCTGTCTTGTGGTGAACAACTCTAACTATAATGACATGCACATTAGAATGCATTATTATAATTAAAGGTCATGGTATGTAGCAATCATTATTTACTGTTCTCCTTTAAAATTATGCTTTACTTTTCAGACTTAAAGGAATAATTTCTTATCTTGTGCAATTCTTCAAGAAGACAATTACACACTTGAGCTAAACATAATGCATATTAACTCAGCCTACCATACATCCAGAGGGACTCGAGGTGTCCAACTTTCTATCATAAATTTCATCTGGTAGAAAGAAAGAAAACTAACTGCTCGCAATTAGTAGGTATCTGGACAAAATGGGCACATGGGTTGTCCTTGTTACCTCATTTTAATGCATCTCCTAGGCATTTATGATCAGTAGCATATATTTCTATCTGGGAAATTCCACAAAGGAGTTTCTACATATTAGGAGTGCCTCTTGCAATACAGACATAACAAACCATTTATTAATCCAGGTAAAATAATGGCACTGTAAGTATGACTGGTGAGCTCAAAAGCCTGTTTTCCCATACTATATTATGATAACCTTGTTATCCAAATGCAGAAGAGACAAAATAATTTAAAAGGAGTAGGCTAGCTGTATTTAGTGAAATAAATAATGAAGAAGAGATAAAGCTATATAATAACTTTTCATAATAAAATATATGGTACAGTAAGTAGCAACAACAAAAGAATCAGCAATAAAAAAATCTCAGTGCTACAGAGACTTCACCATGGTCAAACAAAAACACAGCAGGCTCACACATAAGTAATGATCTAAAATAATTGATGTGTGCACATAACTATTTGAATTCATAAAACCACATTTTTGCAGTGCATTTGCTGATGAATACTCTCTGTATTCAGCCCAGTTAAGTTTAACTTATGTATATACTTTTGCAGCTACACAAAATTTCACAAACTTCAGTTTAGCACTAAATGGTTGTAGAAGTTTCTGCTACTGTGAATGGCTAGGTCTTACTGGAGGATCTGTTCCCTAATATAAGCTTAATAAAAGCATATATATAAAGTGTATATATATATGTACACATATACATACACATGTACATATATGCATTTAACATTATTAAAACCCCTTTTGCCCTTGCACAACAAATTTTCAGTGAGTAGTAAAACATTTTGGATCAGATTTTATGGTTGTTACGATTTGGCAACTCCCTCCACTGCAGTCAGCTCCTGATCTTTCTGTAAAAAGAGATTACCACTCATACTCACTGCCTGAACTGAGGATTCAAAGTAACACTGTCCACTGAAATGTCATTCTTGTCTTAAGGGTGCTACTAATGCCAGTTTTAAAATTCATATTCTGAAGTAACTGAATCAAGCATTCTTTAAATAATATACTGTAGTTTTTCACAGGGTTATCTAATCCCTAGTTACTTATCAGTCTTTTCAGGCAAGAAAACTTGATTTATTAGCAAGAAAAACAAACTCTATACTTCTTACAAATCACTGATTACATCCTCTGTGCCCATAGGCCTGATGTAAGTATCCCTGTTTTGACATGCAAGCTTTTTTGCAGAATGATACCACTATTTTAGCAAACTCCCTATAGCAGAAGCATATAGCTGCTTCAAATAGATATTGACAAGATGAATATTCTGAAAATTTAACTTCCACAAAGAAGTAAGCATTTTCAGAAAAGATTTCCCTATTAGCTGTCATGCTTTCAAAGAAAACACAATGGAAAACCTACCATTTTTATCTCAACAGCTTCTTCTGATCAAAATTCTGCAGCAGATACAAAATTATCAATCAGCCAAGAGATCTTAGCTCCGTTCCTTTGCCTCTGAGTTTCACAGTCTTGACTATAGCAAGAGAATAACATCTTGTGCAGGTTAAATGGGACATCGTAGAAGTTGGAGGAAGCATAATGTATTTCTTCCTCTAGTACTAGCCCAATAATTGAAATATATTTCTCCTCACTTAGAAATCAGATATTTTCTTCAGCAACTCATCTTACAAATCTCTAACAAATTCTGTTTATCCCAGGATTGTTTTCTTCATGAAGTGTTTACTCTATATTTAATAATCTTTACTGCATATCTAATTAATCATATACTTAAATGAACTCTAAACATCAACATGAGTTTCACTAGGACAAAAAGAGAAGACAAATCTGCATATTGTTGGCAATATAGAGTGGGCAGGATGACAGTGAGTGTGAAAGAATGTATTGATGTGGGGGAAGATTCTGGCCTCTTAAAATTTGTATAGAATGAGACGGCTTTGATTGTCATCTCAATTCATTATAGATTTTTAACACTTTTCAATAAATTTTTCTTGCATCTGAGTTGGAACTGATTCAAAATGGAAACTGAACATTAGGCTATGTTCTTGTCTTAGCTATAAATGAGTTTCACATTAAGACTCCTCCCCATCTCTGTCAAGCTTATTTGTGTATTTGCAAGAGTGATTGCAAAAGCAACAACCTAACTCAGGCAAAAGAGCCTGTGTGTCTGTCAGTATTTGGGTGACAGGCCTATAAAGGATTCATTAGAACAATCTGCCCTGAAGCAAAAGAAGATACTGTTCATATCAGCCAATTTGGGATCCACTGTGCAACTCAAAGTACTGAGCAAATCCAGCACTGGGGTTCATGCACAGGAGGAGACTACAGCTAGGCAGAACATTTTCCATAAAATGCAAGTTTGTGAGAAATAAGTATTCAGTACAGACAAAGTTTCTCATAAAGATTTCATGGAGAAGGTGCTGGGATGCATGGTTTGCTTAATGACCATGAGAAAGACTAACAATCTCCCATTTAGTCTCCCTTTGTTCTACCCACCAAAACTTAGACACTTAAGTTACAAAAAATTACAAGATTTTAATTTTACTCCACAGGCAATGAAGATAGGAGATAAAACCTTAGCATGATTAAGTGGTGTTCTCTAGATATCAGTCATATTATCCATTTCTAAGTATGCCTAAGGATTTTAACACTCCTGTTTCAAAGCCCTGTAATAAAATGTGCCCATTCAAAGTATATCTGTGTTGTCAGGCTACTGAAAGCTAGTGACTAGCATTAATAGTCTTTGGATCCAGGACTCACATCCTATTATTACTGCTGTAAAAGTGGTAAGCCAGTTGGTCATCAGATTAAAAAAAGACAAAAAACCAAACAAAAAACAAAAAGGACTTGTGACCAGTAAGATCAATGGGTAAAGTCTATGACATGCCATTTCTTCACCCTCCCTCCCAACTGTAGGCCCTTATAAAAAACACCATCCTAGAAAGCTAGCTAACTTAATCTATAAGATCTGTCTTTATCTACAAAATAACACCCTTACTTCTCCTTACCCACATAACAGAAACTACAGTGAAAAGCCCTCAAGGGATTACAGCTTCTTACAGCAAACTTGTCAGTTTTAATTCAGGTTAGGTGCTGCATAACACAATCATGAAGAAAGCAAATCAGTTCCTTTCAGATGTTGATAATTCACTGGTAGGAATTTTCTTGGCCATACACACTTAACACTCATACATATTAAATCTTGTCCCAGCTTTGGTGAGAAGGAGTTAATTTTCTTCCTACTAGCTGGTATAGTGCTGTGTTTTGGATTAAATATGAGAATAGTATTGATACTATACTGATGTTTTAGTAGATGCTAAGCAGTGCTTACCCCAAGTTAATGATTTTTCAGTTTCCCAGGCTCTGCTGGTGAGCAGGTACACAAATGGCTGGAAGGGAGCAAGCCCAGGGCAGCTGACCCAAACTGGCCAAAGGGATATTCTGCACCACAGAGAATATTGCCCAGAGCTGGCCAGAAATTGACAGTCAGTCACTGGCTGTGAGGTACTTAGTTGACAACTGGGTTTAAACCACAAAAATTCTACAGATACATAAAAGATGTCATGAGATGGCCATCTGTAAACATACATATGTATATATCTCCATATTTATATATATATATATATACATACATACATACATATATATATACATATATATGTACATATATATATATCATATTATATACATACTTTAATTTTTTTTTAAGTCAGTAATGTAGACAGTTCTCAATAAATGGATTGATAATTCATGTCTGATGGAGAACTCCACCGTTTTTGCCTGTGTGTCAGCACAATAAATTTGAATACAGATGTATTCACCCATGTACATCCACATACACTTTATGTATGTATGCATCATATATGTGTAACAGAGCATACAAATCTTTGTATGGCATTTAAGTAATGATCTGACAAACATTAGACACACCACATTAAGCGCTTAGCTGGGAATAACCTTTAGTTGGGTCTCACAAATCTTTTCCTTTTCTGAACTACATGCTTCATATCTGGACGATGTGGAAGCATCTTACCTTGCTTCCATTTTCTCTTGCCTCCCGTTCCATCTTGAGATCAGAAATTAGGAGAGTCTTGTATTTGTTCTTTCCATTACTGCTGTGATCATCTAGTCTGTATTCTGAAGTCAGCTGAGCAGAGAGGGGACTGTCACTCAGGTTCAGAGGCTGCTCATCCTGCTCCAGATTTGTTTTGCCATTACTGTTGGTTTCTGCCATCTCCCTGCAGTGTGTTCCCCCTGAAGCATTGGAACTGTGTCCCACGGTCTCATTGCCATTAAAACTCTCTGCGGCTGAATCATCTATTAAAAAAGATATATTTTCGGTCACATGCCACATAATCATCTCTGTCCAGTTTAAACATAATTTATTTATTCATCATGTTTTTTTCAAAACAATGAAAACTGTTTATATTACTAGCACCAGCACATTTCTGCAAAAAGCACACACACACTCCACGTTTTCAAGTAAAGGCTTTAAGTAAATCCATAAAAAATTACTAAATAAAGGGAAATTACCTGGGCTGACACTTTAGTACCACTGTGTACATAAAAGACAATCAAAAAGAATTTTTTGTGATTGATAAAGTCTGTCTTGATCAATCTGTCTGTCCATATGCCTATGGATCTATTTAGATTCTTATATCACACTCCTTAGTGCACTATTACATATTTCTGAAATCAACAGAGGTGCACGTGGTACTGAGAGAGAATCTGAATCTCAGGTTAAGTGTGCAGAACAGCAGGTGTCATATCCATAAACATCCTCTTGCAGAGATACGGTAAATACTTCTGATGTGTTCGCTGCTGGCAGCAGAGATTATACTAGAAGAGCTGATTCCAGAAACAAAGATCCTGTCTTCATTTTGTTCAGGTGCCCATTCACTTCTTTTATTCATTGTGTGTCATAATATACTCAAAAATACTGATAAATAGTGGCCAAAACTATAAACCTGAAAGCTCCATCCAAAAACCCTGGATGTGTCATTGTTACCCTTAAGATTTTACAGCTGGATTGTATGATTAAAATATGTCTCTTCACATACTTATGGATTTGTGTATCCTGCTCTTGTCAGTATAGGAATTCACCACCTGTGATACCACTCAGCCCTTCTTTACTTTTAAACAATCTTTTGGCCAACATTTTATTTTTCAAAGGATTAAATGGCAGCAGAATTTGGCACTCGATCTGCCCTCTTCTTGTTCTCTAAAGCACCTCTTTTTTGGCAATCTGCAGAGTTTTGCTAATGGTGCAAACACCTGCCCAGAGCTCTACAAGCATTCCCTTATTGCAGACTACGAAGCTGGAAACAAAACTGGGGAGTCAGTAGTCAGGAATGCAGATTGAAACTGGAGATACGGAATGAGATGGACCTTAATATATTAACACATTAATATACCATCTTTTTTTGGGCCCTTCTAGACAACTTCCATGGAAATGAAGCAAACACATTTATCCACACAAAGAATTAAAAAAAAAAAATCAGGACACGTCCTTTAGCAGATGTGCTCAGAAGTACTCATTGCTTTAACTACATGATTAATCAAATTGTTGACTCACCATCATTATTACAGTAAAAAACAACTATTCACCACTCTCAGATGAGATTTTTAAAAGAGGAGAAAATACTGGATAAATGGGTAGTGATCTAATTCAATTAAATACTTAGAAAGCCAGAGACAAAAAGAAGAAAGCTTAGAAAGCTATCATACATTGTTCTCTTACTTGCTGCACTCAAAAAACATTTTTATGCCATAAATATATACAGGACTGGGCATGTAGCATGAACATATTTTAAAAAATTTCTTTGTTTTGTAAACCTGTAAAAAAATCTAATTTCATAACAATACAAATTAAGAGTCATAATTTATATAATTTTACTTAAGGAACATTTTTTGGGTTTTGTTGTTCTAAAACAGCTGTATAATTAATAGCTACAATTCAAAAAAGACCCCTATGCTAAAAGACATAACATTCCTAGAATAAGACTTTCAAATGTGTGTACCAAACAAACTTGTAACAGAGCAATGCTGCTTGAGGATTGAAGGTACGTAGGTGAATAAGAAGAGCAGGATTTATCCTTAATAAACCTTCTATAACACCTTGAGACTTATGTCTTCAAGGCCAGAACACATAAAAAAGGCTAAAATTCTAAACATACTTTCAGAAATAAATAAACAGTTTTAATATTCCAAAATATAAAATGGAATTCTAATATAGGGTCTTTATTTTTTTAAAATAGACACATTTCCAATTTATTTGAAAAGCTCTGAGATAACAGAAAAAAATCCAGATATGTTTTTAACAGAGGAGCTCTTTGATTACTGTTGTATTTAGGACTGTAAAGAGATAATTGGCTTTTTGATTAACAGTTTAAAAAGTGACAGTTTCAAATTAATTAAATCAGTTACTGAATGGGTCACTGAGTGAGGGATGCTCTTCCCTTTGAAGGGCTCACAAAATTCCCTGGCCGCAAGGACAGAAATGAGTAACCAGAGGATACAAAGAACCACCTAAAAGGTGGGGCCACTGCCTACCCAGCAGCACACAAGTCTGGTCCCTCAGGAACTTCTGTGTGCTGGCACTCAAGGGTCCCAACTCGTGCAGTGCAGAGGAACCACTACCAGGACACAGACAGCTGGATGGAAATGATGAGAGCTACATCCAGGAACAGCCAACTCTCAAGCACAGCTGCTAGTTTTGCCTAGCAATAATGCTTTTATTTCTTTTTTTGGTGCCCTGTGTGATGTATGGTTGACAATTAAATCTTAAAAGTGTGTGAAAATGCTACAATGCGGAAGAAAAAATAATCTTATCTTTGTTCTAAAACATGACCAGAAGAATTCCTATGTTGAGTAAATGTGATCAAACATTATAATACTCTGAAACAATAGAAAAGTTTTTATAAGATTTTTGCTTTTCTTAGCAAAAGCTTAGTTACTTGATGGCTAATCCCAGTTTCCACTATAAAGTCAAATATCTGTTTTTACAATCATTTAACCTTGCTTGTTAGAGATGGGATCTTGTTTGACAAGATAATGGTCAAGAGAATGGCTACAATGTGTATGGTATAAATAACATCTTTGCCAAGTAAACAGAAATATGTATTTCCATAAAAGAGATGAAGAAAAAACACAAAGTGGTTTAGCAATAGTTTCTTAACAGATGTTTCCACGGTAACCAGATTACAAGGTTTAGTAACCTTGGATAGCTGCTCCCTGGGCAGCTATCTATTTTTGCTAAGACTAAGGCTACTTTAAAGCAAGAGTTTCTCAGAAGGTATCATAAACACAGAACACATCTGGAATGACTTTAGGGTTTAGGGGAAAAGGCAAGAGGGTCTCGCCCAGGAGAGGAAAGTGATGTTCATCCTTGGATACAGGCAACCACAGCCCAAACACCCAAGCACTCATGGCTTGCTCGTGGATGCCAAGAGGCAAGAACAGATCTGTGGAGACCTGTCCCTCAGACCATGTTCCCCAATGGCCATTGCCTCTGTCAGGGGCAGCAGGTGAGACCTCATCTCCCCACTGTGTCTGGTGCAGCTGGTGCATGGGGCTGCCCCTAAAGCAGAGACAGCATTGGGACCAGCAGCTTGCTTGCAGTTTTCTCACCTTCCAATATCACATCACCTCAGCAACAATGAACTGCTAATGACAAAAGCCTCTTCTCTTACCAACAATTTTTTCCCCTCCATCCAGCAGAGGCAGAGGCATGGTGGCTTGGGGAGAGCTTGGGGAAGAAGGTGCATTATTCAGCCATGGCCAGTGGCCCCTGCTCCTTGTTGGGAACTCTGTAGAGATGAGGTCCACCCCAGCCTGGCACACGTGGGGCAGCCATGAACCCACTGCAGAGCTGCCCTCCCACAGGAGGCTCAGCAAACCACAGCATTCCTCTCTGGGCTCACTTTGGCCCCACTGCCAGTCAGAGGGCACTCCTTTCCCACAGCTGGCTGATGAGTGCAGTATAAAACTCTACTGAAGCAAGGGTAGCACATTTTCAAATCCTGTATCTTGTTTGAATCACCACTGCAGGGTGAATTTTATGGAAAGACCTCCACAGAAGCCTGCCACAGGCACCAGGAGCTGAGAAGGGAAGGAGTAAAGGGGCCCCATACCCTGCATTGGGTATTGGGGCAGTCATAAAAGAGGCTGTAGGATGAGCTCACATCTTCATCACCACCCAGGACAGCTTTTATCCACAAATATCAGCCATGACAGAAAATCAACCATCAAATGCTGCTTGCTCAGCACAAGACATGTCTTTGGGAACTGTGCAGCTTTCAAACCCTTACCCCAGAATGCTGGAAGACTGGAAGTACATCTAAGGCTTACTTAAGCCTGAAAAGTGAGAGTCTGGCTGCAAAATACATATTCATTTCTAAAAATAGTCAACTGGGGCCTCCTTCACCTATGCAGAGATTCTCTTCCAGGGATTAAAGAGCATCGCCCCTCAGCAAAACACTCCAAGAGCAGAGGGAAGGTACTTTTGGATCAGGCAGAAGGCACTTTCTTGCTGAATCATAGGGAATTCTCTAGGCTTAGGCACAGACTTCTCACTCATGGATCAATATTTCCTAAACATCTTGATGCCAACACTTCCAGCTTGCACACTGCTCCACACTGATCCTGTGCTCTGGTCTGAATAACACTCTTTGGACACCTTTAGTCCAAGTACTCTCCATATCAGAGGTTATCGATAGAGCATGGGGTAATGGCTTTAAACTGAAGGAGAATAGGTATAAATTAGATATTAGGAAGAAATGCTTTACCGAGGGACTGTAAAACGTTGCCATGAGAAATTGTAGATGCCCCATCTCTGGGAGTGATTAAGGGCACTTTGGAGGGTGCCCTGGGCAACCTGATCTAGTGGAATCCTGCTCTACAGCTCTATGATTCTAATTATCAAAACAAGATCTACAGTAATATTTTTACTTCAAGTTAGTGTCTTATCACATTGCATTACAGCTTCCAGTTCGTCCTTCCAGATCCCACTCAGACCAGCAAGATACAAAGTG